GTCAAGTTCAACAGTCCATATTGACCTCAACTCGTCGAGTACAACCAGCCACTTGTCGAGTTCCTTGCATAACTCGTCAACTCGCTGAGTCAATTGAGTGACTCGTCGAGTTCCTAAGGTTTGTGGTCTTAAACTCCTTGGCCCCACTCATTGAGTTTCCTCACAACCCGCCGAGTTCATTCATGTCCAAAGGTCGGGAAAACCATAGCTGACTCGCCGAGCCCACTACAATCTTCATAGGACTCGTCGAGTTGACCATGCAACTCGCCGAGTCCCTTTAGTCCTTCATCCACTCAAATGATTTTTAAGCCATGCTAAGGTCCCATATTGCATATCCAACTCCCCAAGGCATGTTTATCACATAAAGTTGCAAACTTTATGTGCATGCAAGGCTCTAGAGACCCAAAATGACAAATCCAAGTTTGTGATGGAGTTTTACTCCTAAGGAGAGTCTCATACTTTAGAGACCCAAGAGAGCTCAGATCTGAAGTTGCAACTTCATATCTTATCTCATACACAAGAAAGCTTCCCAATATATGTCACACCCCAAAACCAAGAATGGCGGAAACGTTCTGGGGTGGAGGATGTCATGTAAAGTATCACAACACAGTATAACAGTAAATAAGCAAACAACATCATCCATTGCATTAAATATATAATTTTAATACAAGTGTGTTATTTACGGTTATAGACACCAAAAATAATGTAAATCAAAATAATAAGAGGAGTCTTGGATGCGCTCCATCTTCTCAAAAGCTGGCATCGGTACCTGTCTACTGATGACCTGAGAATACAAGTTATTTTGAAAGAGTTTATCATCATAAAGCTGGTGAGTTCATAAGTATTTTAGTGTCGGTGTTTGTTATCAAAACGTTTGAACATGTCTCAAGTGTAAGTTTGTAAAATGTATGTAAATGTTTGTAAGTGTTTGTAAAAGTTTGAATCTCTCAGAAAAACCTATATTTTCTATTAAAGTAGCCTTCTACCAAGGCTTAACTGTTTTGTATGTTCGTTTACTATAAAAGTGTGTAATTTACTCAAGTGTAACTATCATTCTCAAAATATAGTTTGTACATAAATGTTTAAGTGAAAAGATCACTAATTGTGTAAAGAGTAAATTAATGTAGTACTGTAGTGTTGTATTATAGGAACTACTGCTGTACTAACTACCTTAAACCGGATTTATAGTAAGGCATCATGTGATTAATTGTACCATACTATCGACTGGATAAACAACGACAAATGTTGGTCGTAAAATGATATGACGTTTGGCACCCACAGACCTGCAGGTCCGGCTATAGCTAGCAGCAAGGTGTAGGATAGTCAATCCAGTATAGATCTATACGCAAACTCACGCTCTCCCTCCAATAGAATTCTGGCTACAACTCGGTCCATAACATTTAAGGCATGCTCCGATACAGTGGATCACAATTGTGTAAATGTATATATGTATATGTAATGTATTGTTACTCGTTCTAGTATCGTTGTATATGTTCTCATAGTATAGTTGTATATGTTCTCCTTCTAGTATAGTTGTATATGTTCTCATAGTATAGTTGTATATGTTCTCCTTCTAGTATAGTTGTATATGTACTCATAGTATAGTTGTATATGTTCTCATAGTATATAGTATTGACTCATGAATGAACTGATTCGTTGATCTAACAATAGTATGTGTATGATCCTGTGTTACCCCGATGGTAACCTATAAATGATGTATTTAGTATGTATTAATGTGGAATAACTTTTATGACCATATATTTACACATGATATATAATTAATATTGAAACGACCTTCGGACGGCTACCCGATATCCCACCAGACCACATCCAAATCGAGGAAAAGGAAATAGGGCGTGCGGCCTTCCTAAGCCTTTTAAACATTGATTATATAATTATGCATATACGGGCATGAAATGTATAATAAGCATAACAAAGTTTAAGTAAAAGTGTTTGATAAGTAAAATAGTTTGTAAAACAGTTGGAAGTAAAACAGCTTTGATAAACAGTTTGAATAGTAGTAAAATCATTGGTTGTGTACTTATTAATCACATGTGATTGATGTAATAACTATAAGTATTCAACTTGTATTCCCCCCCCCCCATAAAAGCATTTAAAAAATTTAAAAGTATTTCAAAGGTTAATTAAAGGGGTATGAACTCACTTGTGGTGAGTGGATTGAATTGAAGTATCGGATACCGTGCTAGGTGGCAAACGGAGACTTGTACACACGCACGAGCCTAGTTATCATATAATGAACATATGTATAACTAATTAGCCTTATTATAACTAATAATATGAGTTGGGACACTCTAGAACCTGAAAAGACCTTGTTTCAAGTGTTAAAGTTCACAAGGTTTGCATCCGAGTACTAGTAGGGCATAACTAGGGTGTTTGGAGTCCAAGGGTAAACTCCTTGGGAGTTTACGGTCTAAATGACCTTTACCCTTGGAGTTTACAGCAGTAAACTCTAGGGTTTACGGTCCAAACCCCAAATATTGTAATCCATGAGTTGCTTTGGAGTTTAACAAGTCCATAGAAGTAACCTTGCTAAGTGGTTTAGCTCTTGGAATGGATTAAGACCACAAAACACCCTCCTTGAGGTGTTTACGGCCTAAGGGTATTTTCCCTTGGGTTTACTACCATAAAAACTTATGGGAAGGGATGTTGCCTTGATATCAAGTCCTTATCACAACAAGGTAAACACCTAAGTTAGTCTTTAGGGTTAAGAAAGGAATATGACTCATTTAAACACCTTTTTGGGTGTTTATGGTTTTGGGGCATCCTTAGACCGTAAACACCTATATTTTGTGGTGTTTGATGTTTTTTAAAGCTTAAACATATCAATGGAAGGTTCAAATATGTTAAGGTAAGTCTAGGGCTTCAAACTAGGGCTTAAAATGGGACTTAAGCCAAATTTGAGGGACTTTATGGTGTTTGCGGTCCAAGCATCTTCTTGGACTGTGAACACCTCAATCATGGTGTTATTGGCTGATTTCCTTGATGTTTGTTTTATATACTAGCTTACAAGCACTTAAGGATGAGAGTACTTACTATAATGGTGCTTGATTCGAGCTAAAAGGGCCAAGAACACTTAGTGTGTCTTCTTAGTGTTTTGGAAAATCTAAACAAAAACCGGAAATGAATGGATGAATAGATGCACAAACACTAGATTAAGTGTTTTACTAACATGAAATGGTTAGAACACTTACAAGATCGGAGTTTTGGAATTAAATGTTGGATGATAGTTGAGAGAGTTTTTGGGAATTTACTATTTTCACTATTTGGGGAGTAAACACAATGACTAGTTTATTGGGGAGTAAACTCATACATAGGCATGAGTTTACGGTTTTTGGGTGATTCTTAAACCAAAACATAAAAGTTTAGTCGGGTGATTCTAATACGCGAAGTGTTTGCGGTTTTCAAAATAAAAACCCGAGACGACACTTTCTTTCACCCGTTCGTTTAAAAATAATAATAAAATAATTAAACGAACTTTATATTTCTTAAAAATAAGAAATAATGATATTAAATCACGATACAAAGTGGTTGACTTTTAGGGTTTGACCAAAAGAAAATTTCGGGTTGTCACAATATACTAGAAAAGCCCTAAACTTCACCCAAATGAGATCTAGAAGGAAATGAGGTCAAGATAACGATTTGATACATTCAATTGATGCTAACTGAAGTAAAATTATGGTTCCCACACTTTCCTTGCTACTAGCCAGTTGTTCTCCAAACCCTTCTCACCAATAATTTTCTTCTAAAGATTAAAACACACAACTGGAGCACACACTCACATATTAGGGTTTTGATGAGCTCTCAAGGGACTGTAGGGAGGCCAAAGGAGGCTGATCCCTTAAATAGGATGCAAAACCCCAGAAATTAGGGTTTCACCCTCCAGATCCTACTCGTCGAGTCCCTTCTTGGACTTGGTGAGTAGGTCACTTGGACCAACCCGCTGCTACTCGACGAGTCAGGGAAACCAACTCGCCGAGTAGACCTTGAAATCATGAAAATTTATAACCATAAATCAATACTTGAAAATCGGGGCGTTGCAATTCTCCCCAACTTGAACTAGACTTTGTCCTCGAAGTCTAATGCTGTGAACAACTCCGGATAGTGCTCCCGTATCTCTGCCTCTGACTCCCATTTCCATTCAGACTCTCTTTGGTGCTCCCACTATAACTTTACCAAAGGTACCTACCACCTTGTTCCGTAGAACCTTCACTTTCCTGTCTAGAATGCCCACGGGCCTCTCAACATAATTCAGGCACTCGTTCACCTGAATGTCATCCAACGACACCACTACCTCCTGATCCATAACGCACTTTTGCAATGGCGAAACGTGGAAATTGTTGTGGATCCGACTAAGCTCTTTCGGTAGCTCCAGCGTGTATGCCACCTTGCCAACCCTGGAAACAATTCTGAACGGTTCGATGAATCGGGGACCCAATTTACCCTTTTTCCTGAAACAGATCACACCATTCCAGGGCGAGACCTTCAGGAGTACCATGTTACCGACCTAGAACTCTAACTTAGATCGGCATCTATAAGCATAACTCTTCTACCGACTCTAAGAGGTCTATAGTCGCTTCCTAATCTGCTGAATCTTCTCGGTAGTCTGCAAGCCTAACTTCATCCTTCCCATCACCTTATGCCTGACCTCACCCCAACAAATAGGGTTGTGACATCTCCGCCCATAAAATAGCTCAAAAGGCGAGGCACAAATGCTGTAATGATAGTTGTTGTTATATGCAAAATCTGCAACGGGCAGGTGGGAATCCCAACTCCCACCAAAGTCTATGACACACACCCTCAACATATCCTCAAGGGTCTGAATGGTCCTCTCACTCTGACCGTCAGTCTGAGGATGAAATGTTGTGCTAAAGTGTAGTCGTGTGCCCTGTTCCTCGTGGAACTTCTTCTAGAAACGGGAGGTAAATCTAGCATCGCATTCGGAAACAATGGAGACCAGAACCCCATGGTGAGCGACGATCTCATTCTGTTGTTGCATTACATGCAGACCAAAACTTGTGAACAAACTGTGCCCCTAGAAACTTTTTACTGAAGTTGGCCACAATGTGTCTTTCACATTGCCTATGCTCAGCTTGTGGTAACAATTCCTTGACAGCTTCCATAAGAACCTATACCAATATACAAGTAGTTAGAAATGAATTGGGTAATATAGTTTGTGAAAGAGAAATAATAAAATGTTTTTCTTACCTTGTGTTGGTTTGACATAAGAGTTAAACCTTATCCCATACCAAGATTAAGATCATCAATTAACAATGACAAAAACCATTTCCAGTTTTCAATACATACCACTGTCCAGGTAGTTGGGTATATTTGGTCCCTAGCATCACTTCCCACATCATAAAGCAACTCACTAGTAACATACCCTTTCAAGAAGCAACCAACAATTCCAATCACCTTCTACACCCTTCTAACCACCCCTTATTTACACCATAAAAAACATAATACTTAATAAAGTGATTACTTCCATCTGGCATTGTAAGAACATACATGCTAACTATTGAACCAAGGTTGGATCTTCTAATTTCCACTCCATAATACCAGAGCTTAGCATAATGCTCAATAACGGTACCTTCAATAATATTTATAGCATACTATTTTGCCCTTTTGCATTGGCTAATACTAACTTCAATACCAAATTTCTTGATGACCTCCAATCTTAGTTGCATAATTGTTAGTTTCTGTCTATAAAAAATCTCCTTGGTGTAGTGACTACCAATCCATCGGTAATTGACAATTGAAGCAAGTTTGTAGTTCCTAGCACATTGATGCTCACTTTGTAACAATTTGATTTGAAAACTATGTTCTGTACTCATCCAATTTTCCTATAGCCTGAAACTACAAGCACCTTTACAACATAATACTAGAAACCTCTTTCTATCATTCTTTTTGAACCATAGTTGATAGCCATTCTTAACAGCATAATTACATAACATGCTCTTAAGCTTCTTTGGATTCTCAAATCTCATGCCTAAAATTGGTTCTTGCTTCTTCCACTGTACCTGAGGATTAAAGATAGGATGTTCCTCAAGTACATCATTGTCTAGTACCTCACTATTTCCCACTTCTTAAGCCTTTTTCTCTTCTCCACCTTCTGGGTATAACTTTTTAAGAAAATTATCGTCCGTAATGTTTTTAGAGGATTACAATATTCCTCAATGATTTCATCTTCCAAAACAACATCAAACATATAGGCTGCTTCAAGATCGGGGATTCCTTGTGAAGTTTCTTTGTCATCCCCCTGGACCACTGAACCACTTTCATCACTTTGTTCATTGAACCGGTCCTCAAATACTTTTATAATATGATTTAATACAAGTTTATTAGCCTTGCAAGTGATTGATAAGCAACATCAATAAACACTTGATAATCCATTTCGTTGACTATTACCCTAATACCATTTCCATAGTTACATCACATGTGAGTAATAAAGTTTCTTAAAAGGTTCTCCGACAAACCTTTTTAGAAATTCACAACACCCATGTAAATCCATTCCATGGAAATCATGATCAGTAAACATGAACGTATCACCTCTAGTATATCTATGTGGGTGTCTTGTAAATACACCGTTATAATGCAAATGCACTTTCAAGAAAATTGGGTCTGGGTTCGCCATGAACTTTAACTAGAAAAGAACCAGATGAACTTTAACTACAAAAGAACCCTAGATGAGAGAAAACCTACAGAAATGTGAGAGAAAAGCCCTAGAATCTTGAACACTTCAGCATGATTTTAATAAACGATTGGAGTAAAGCTATTTTTTGAATAGTTATACGAAGGTGTTGATGTGTCATTGATGAGATGTCATTTAATTGAAGAAATCGAAATTCTAAAGGCAACGTCACATTTAATTACTGGGAAACTAGCTTTCATGGTATAAATGGCAAGTAATTTGTCACTTTAGTGAGGTAAGAGGTACCAAAATTAGTTCAAGGACCTTTTAAAACCAAATGAAAAACATCATTGTGCTTCTATGTCAATAACCCTAGTTGTTATGAATAAAAAGAATATTGTTTAATAAATTTGATAAATTAGGGTTGAAAAGCGAGACTTTACAAATTCATATATTCCTTATATGAATCTTGTTTCTTACCCTCGTTATATCTTTGTGTAGCTCTTTAATAGTACTAGAACTTTATTTAAGGTTGAGTTGTCAAATTTTAACTTTTATTTTTAACCTGTAATTTATATTTTTCCAAAAATCATATCTTCTTTGTACGAACTCCATTTGTGACCATTTATTTTCGAAGTTCTTATCTCTCAAAGAATTACGATTGTCCTTTTAATGACGTTAGTCAAAACATAACCGATTTCTTTATATTATTTTGATGTTGATTACATTAATAAGGCGGTTTATTTTTACTTTTGATAAAATCATAACTTCTCCAATCGGAGTCAGACTTTTACAAAATGTATCTCCTTGGGATCACGTTACTGTGTATTCATGTTTGGAAAGGGATTGGGAATCCTTGAAATTGTACTTATTAACTTCGACCATATTAAACTTTTTCTTACTTACAAATCATAACATATCTGATCATATTTTTCCGAAATATGAAAAAAATCTATTGTTATCATTGTCAATGCTAATCTCTCGTGACGAAAATTTCCTAGTTGTTACATTCTCCCCCTATTTTAGGAATTTCATCCTGAAATTCAGACCTTAGGGAAATCTTATTAGGGAATACTGGTTCCTTACTTTGGGATCGACCCTTTTCCTTTTTGTTGGGACAACTAAATTTCCTTTTTAGTTCTAATTTTAATTCTTTAACTTCATTATTAGAATCTACCATTAGTGTTTTGATATTCTATTTGATTTTATCATTATTTTACACCAATAGGAAAAGTAAACCTTTTACTTTAATAGTGGCATGGAATTCTGGAAGGATTTCTATTTTAATTTGTCTATCCCTACTTGTACTTAAAAGTAGATCTTTATAAGTATATATCTATATATATATATATATATATATATATATATATATATATATATGTGTGTATATAATTTCATGGATCCTAAATCTCTTTTTATGCATTACATAATTATTTTTATGTGAATATTCCCTAAACCTCTTATTCAAACTTCCTAACTTCTAGTGTTTCCTTTTACAGGCTTGGTTGACTCTTGCAAGCACTCGCGATGTGTCATGGTCTACCACAATTGTTACACTTAAATTTCTCACAATTTCCTGGATGATGAAGTCCATACCTATTACATAAGGGGAGTCTTCCCAAGTATCACCTTAGTGGAGTGGTTGTTCTCTCTTGAGGCTTCCTTTACCCTATTTCCTTCCAGAAGGGTTGACTAGATTTGCCATTGGTAGTTCCTTCCCACATGTTTTTGAGTTCTTTAGAGTTCTTCTTACTCCTTTTTAAGTTATGGATTTGGGCTGAAGGCTAATGATTTAGTTTCCTCGTAGGTGTTGGGCTAGTATGCACGTACCTCTCCCCTAAAATGGGGGATAATCCTTGAAGGTATTCATAGATCTTCTTGATCTCTGAGCCGATTAATCTAGGGCATATGGTAATTAGGTACTCAAAGCGTACGGTATAGAAGGCTAAACCTGATTCCCTTATGATTAGCTCACTGAATTCGTGTTCTGCTCGAGTCACGTCTTCTTCAGAATGGAATTCCCTTGTCATTTACTTCTTTAGCTCTTTCCATGAGGTTGTATAGGCTTTGGCTACACCTAAAGCTTTGACCTGAGTATTCCACCAGATGAAAGCACTTTCCATAAATGTACATGATGTGAACTTAACATGATGTTCATCATCACACTTGCTCTCCATTTCCTTTATCCAATGGATTAAACTATTTAATCCTTTAACTCTATAGAAAGTTCTTGGTTTACTGTTAATGAAATCTTGGTAGAATTTTGTCATTTGACCAGCTTCCTTATTGCTTCCTTATTCTTTACTTGATCTGATATTTCTTAACGCATCATAGAGTTGACATTGAATCATGGTCTAAATGGTGTGAGGGTTAATCAAGGTTAGCATTGAAGGGTTGTTATCCTAAAATGATAACAAGTAGGTTACTCATCATTCCTATGTCTGACTAATGGGGTTGTAATCAAATCCTTATATGTCTTGATCTTTTAGGAATATTTTACTTCTTTTGTTGTAGCAATATACGGTTGCTATAATAGGAATTTCCTTTTATCCTACGAACATTTTCCTTCCTTGGTTCCTAGCTATATTTAGCCTCTAAGGTTTTAGGGTATAATATAATCTAAGGGTGCGTGAGATCATTGCTCAACATGGTGTTATAATAGGAATTTCCTTTTATCCTACGAACATTTTCCTTCCTTGGTTCCTAGCTATATTTAGCCTCCAAGGTTTTAGGGTATAATATAATCTAACCGTGCGCGAGATCATTGCTCAACATGGTGTGCCGGTTTCTATCATATCCGACCATGATGTATGGTTTACTTCTCGTTTTTGCATAAGTTTTATGAGGATTTGGGTACGAGGCTGCATTTCAGCACTACTTATCACCCTCAGACTAACGGGCAGAGTGAACAGACTATTCTAGTATTGGTGCCTCATCTTTTGTAGTTTTCTATTAAAGGAAGTGTCGTACACCAGTTTTCTGGGGAGAGGTCAGCCACAAAGTTATTAGGAGGACTAAGGTAGTCCTCCAGACGAAAGAGCTCATCCAAATGATCAGCCAAAGGTTGCAAACAACTCAGATCCGATAGAAGAGTTACACTGATAGGCTACGATTTGAGTTACAATTCCTGGTCGGGGATATGGTTCTGTTGAAGGTATCATCTTGGAAAGTTGTTATACGCTTCAAGAAGAGGGGCACGTTGGGTCACCGATTTATCAGGTCGTTCCGAGTAGTGGCCAGAGTAGGCAAGGTGGCCTACCAATTGGATTTGCTTGAGGAGCTTAGTCTAACATCTTTATTTCCAGTTGTTCCATTTTCACCCCTAGTTTGAGTATTGTTTGCAATATTAGTCTTGAGTGGCATTTTTCTAATTTTGAGGCAATCATGCGTATGCTGGGTGTATGTCCTGTACGTAGGGCATATGTGGATAGGGTGAAAACCCTAATTTTAGGGTTTGGACCATATTTAAGTATCATTATATCCCCATACATTTTCTTAACTCAAGCCTTGATCCCTCTTATCCGCCATTTCGAAACCCTAAAGTGTGTGAGTGTGTTTGGAAGCTTTGGAGTGTCATTTTGGTGCTTTTTGTGGTGAAGGAAGACTCTTGGCGTGGTGGTGTTTCACTCAAGTATTTGGATCCAGTAACTACTCTCCCTTGTGCATCTTTGTTACACCCCCAAACCATGGCGGAAACATGTTTGGGGGTGGGTGACTTTACGTAGTATCATAACAATTGAATATTGTAAATAAAGTAAAAACAACCATCATCTATATAATAAAAAATTACATGGTTTGTGTGTAATACATGTTTCAAAAGAATATTACAAATATGATGATTTAAAATGTTTTGATAATAGACGCCTTAGCGTTCCTTATCCAAAAGCTGATGGTTACCTGTATTACTGATTCCCTGAGAAATACAAGTAGTTTTGAAAAAAGTGTCAACAATTAAGTTGGTGAATTCATAAGTGTTTTTGTACTAACATTTGTATGTCCTTCAATTAAAATGAATATGTTTTCCAGAAAATCCAATATTTCCTTTCTATAGCTTGAAAAAGTTCCAAAGGCTGGAGTGCAATAGTATCTTTCGTGCTCAAATGATGAAGGTGAATTTATACTCAAAATATGTATTTACTGAATGCAATCAAGAGTCTCATAAATCAAACTTATTTAATACTTCCGTGTGAGTTTTATAACCATGCTATTGACCCAGACTTCCTGTAACAACGTTCTTCAGGCGTTGCAGTGTTATGACATTTGTCACCCCAGACCTACCGGTCTAACTGTGGCTAACAATTTAGGTGAGGGATTGTCAATCCCCTATATATCTATACACAAATATCACGATCTCCCTCCAAGAGATTATGGTTTATAATACAAGGCTTGAAATGCGTACTTGTGAGTACATTGAAGTTGAATATCTCACAGCACTTCGTATTAATAGATTTATGAAAGAAAAGTCTATATTTCATGTAGATGAAAGTATTTCATTTTCACAATATTTACTTAAAGATGTAATGAATAGCTTGTAAACTATACCCATTATAGTTTTTCTAAAAATGTGTACCATTTGGTGATAAAAATTTGATGTAATACTAACATTGTATATAGTTTATACGTTGATGTCGAAGTTGTTTAACATTTATAAAATATAGGTGGTGTATTTAAATCTATATAAAACGATGAGTTTTCTTGTATTGCACTTGTATTCCCCCCCCCCCTTAAAACCACAAAAGACGTGAAAATGTAGGGGTATGAACTCACTTGTTTGGTTTGAAGATAGTGAGATGAGAATTTAGCAGAACTTCGACTGTGGAAAGCTGCGTCTTCGGGTTTCTTGGGGATCTTGGTAGCGTGAAACTTCCGTCGGGGCTCAGGTATGAAATCGAGGCTGTCGGGATAGCTTCTGGAGCTCAAGAGAGTGTGAAAGTGAGACAGGAGTTGACAATGTGTGCCAAAAACCCGAAGCTCATGCATTCTATTTATAGTGCTGGGGCACCCCCGTACGCTGGGCGTACTCCTTGGGTATGCTAGGCGTACTCCAGAGTCGTCAGCGCTTACGACTCAAGCCTAGCTAGCTTGCTAGCCGATGGGAAGGGACTCTGCGCCTGAGTACGCTGGGCGTAAATTGGATTTCCAACTTCTAAATTCCGTAACTTTTGCGTACGAGCTCCGATTTTCGTGTTCTTTATATCCATGCGTAGGTGAGACTGTACTCTACAACTTTCATTAGACTCCGTCGGCTAGTGTTGACTTTATTTTTAATAGTATATTTTTAGTAAGCCGAGACTTCTAAAGTCCGTTAAAATCCATAACTTCTCTATCTGATGTCAGTTTTTGTCCGTCTTTTATAGTTGCGATGCTCTTGTCGAGATCTTCAACTTTCGTTTAAATTGCATTGGCTAAAAATGGCTCGATCTCTACTTCGAGTTTTTAGCCATCTACTGCTATTCTGAAACTTCTAAAAATCATAACTTCCTCATACGAAGTCAGATTTGATAGTTCTTTTTATGCATAATTACAACTTAACGATATCTACGACTTTTATTTAGAAGCCTAAGACTAAAAAGTATTTTATTGAAGTTTCACTTTTTACGCTTATCAGTGTTTTACCGGGTATGTCGTGGATTTTCGATTGGTCATAACTTCTTCATACGAAGTCAGATTTGGGCGTTCTTTATATTTTTGGAAACCTTGGCACGATATCTAACACTTTATGCATCCCAATTTAGATTTTAGAACAATTCATTTTTTACACTGATTTCTTTGATTCTAAATAGTTTGTTATATTTGACTTTTTGAATGTTACATTGGTTTGAAAAATATCGGGTTGTAACAATCTTCTAGAGGTATAAAGCTCCAACCTTGATGAATATTCATTTAGATCTTTTTCTAGATTAAAAGTTTCAACTTTTTCTCCTAAATCTTGATCCTTGTGAGGTTGGAATACTTGAGGACCTTTGAGTTTTCCTTTCAGATGTTTTAGGGTGTGATAAGTCATAAAAATGTAATATTTGGCATTATTTTTCATCGATTTAGCCTTATTTCATGTTCCTTTTTTTCTTATGTACTTAGGGTAGAATCATCATTTGGAAATCTATGTGGCTCAATTTTATGTATAACTTGTCTGCAAAAGGCAACCATCGATGTTGATTTAGGTTCTTGGTATTGCGAGCAGTGGGAGTTGAGGATTTATAAGAAAGTCTAGGATATGTATGTTGTTTAGTATAGGAGTGGTGTATGGTTCTAGTTTGGTGACTTAGACAATTAGAGAGACTCTTGAGGAGGGTACAGTCATGTGTGAAAGGTAGTATTGGACCCATACTACGGGAAGCACATGATTTGCACTCGATACATGAAAAAACATGGAGACTCTAAGGAGAACCATATAGTGATAATCCCTTTGAGTAATATATACTGATTGTTTATATGTTTATGTTTCATTTTTAGTATGGTGATGAATACTCGAGGAGGTTCTGGCTCACACGTAGAACCGATTGAAGAGAGGTTGCAAGAGTTTATTGTGGTTGAGGTTACTCACGATATCTTGGATACTACTCCTGTGATATTAGATACAATCAAGAAGAGGATTATGGAGCTGATGGATGAGAGGCTCAGGTCTTTTCGAGTAGAGATTGTTGTGGCCCAGATAGGATCTCAAACTCCCTCATTTCAAGAGTTCAAGGTTTATGGAGCTCCTGAGTTCTTTGTGACTAATGACCCCATTTCTAGCTGACGTTGGATCACTAACATGGAGAATGCTCAGTGGATGAGTTTTTTCCCTGAAGGGGAAAGGTGGGGTTTGAATCCTACCTATTGAGGGACCGAGCACAAGACCGGTGGGATGAGGTTGGCGAAGATGTAGGGTCTGTGGTAGTAGCGGTCATGAATTGGAAGGATTTTGTGTTGAGGTTATAGAGGGAGTTTACACCATGTATTGAGGTGCAGGAGATGGCAATGTAGTTTCAGGACCTTCGGCAGACCATTGAGACTATGGTGGAGATGACCGTTAAGTTCTGAGAGAGTG